CAGGGTCCCCCGCCGGCCCCAGCCCCGCCCCCCTGCCTCTCCCGCAGAGTGGCCGCCCTGGTCCAGCTTTCTTGGAGGACAGGCAGGCCAGAGCACTCGCTCCTCTGACAGGCAAGCTCTCTCCAAGATGCCCCTGGCACAGTGGCTGTGTCTCACCCAGTCCTCCGCCCTGGCCCCCACCTGGTGGCCCAGCCTGGCCATGGACGCTGACCCTGGCCAACGTGCACAGTGGGGTCACCAGGCGGTTCCAAGCAGGTGGAGCCACAGCCACGCCGCCTTCACCAGGACCCTCAGCCTGGTCCTCGTCTCCTAGAGGCCAGGTGGAGATGGTGGGCCTGCTGTCTGGGAGACGGTCCAGCTGGGCTTTGCCCGGGCCCCTTGTGACCTGTCTGCCTCAGTCCATGTCCTACCCAGAGCCCTCCAGGACCTCAGAGCCCGTGAGCTATATTCACCCCATATCTCTCCACAGATGTGTTGCAGTTAGGGAAACTGGGGCAGGTGCCTCCCATTGCCCTGTGAGGGGGGGTGTGCCCCATGAGGGGTGTGCAGGTGTGCGGGGATGTGCACAAGTGTGGGGAGCACGTGGGGGCTGCAGAGGTGTGTGGGTGCTCAGGTGTGGGGTGTACAGGTACATTGGGTGGTCAGGTGTGGGGTGCCCAGCTGTGTGGGGTGTTCAGGCGTGGGATGCATAGCTATAGGGTAGTCAGGTGTGGGGTGCTCAGCTGTGTCAGGTGCTCAGCTGTGTCAGGTGCTCAGCCGTGAGGTGCGAAGGTGTGTGGAGTGCATAGGTGTGTGGAGTGTGTAGGTGTGGAGGGTCCTCAGCTTGTCAGGTGCTCAGGTGTGGGGCATGCAGGTGTGGGGGACTGTATTGTGGTTTGAATGTGTCTCCAGAATTCAAGTGTTAAGACTTAATGGTGAGAGACCAGCAGTTGGCCTAATGGCTGTCGTTGGACTCCCATGCAGTTGACTGAAGTTAGAGTCCCAGACCGGTAGCTTAAACTCACACCTGGCACATGTGCGTGCGTGCCCAAGATCCTGAGAGGAGAATGGAGGAGAAGGGATTGCAGCGTGGCCATCCCCCCAGGGAGTGATTTGTCGCTTTCTGTCTCTCTGTCTCTGCCTTTATGGTGAACACACGTGCCCTATAGTAGAAACCTCTCCAAAACAACTTAGTGGCGAAGGTGGTCACAGTAAGAGATGAAACCTTTAGTGGCAGGCAGGCTGTAAGACAACTACCCAGGGTTAGGGGAGAGGCTTCCAGCAGCATTCCAGCCTCCTCCAGGGAGAACAGATTCCTCCTGGCATCAGGCACCGTCCGGGGATGAGAGCTCCGCCCTTGCTCCCTAGCTGGCACCTACTGGGGGCCTTCCCTGCCCCAGCCCTGTGACAAGTGAATTCCTTTCTGTAAATGGCCCTGTCCCTGGCTCTTGATCTCAGTGTCCCACGCTGAGGACACAGGAGGGGCCCAGTCTCCTCAGGATCTTCAGACAGGAAGGGCGTGCCGGCTCACCTTGCCCTGGGTGCCAGGGACAGGTCACTGCAGGCCCCGGCGAGTCAGGCTGACTATGCATGGTCAGCGAGGAGACACGACAGCTGTTGGTGTCAGGCCAGACCCTGGGAGCAGGTGACAGCAGGAGCCCTCTGCCGCACGGCTGTGGAAGGCATGTGTGGCCTGGGGAGGCCCGTTGCACCCCATGTTCCAGCAGCGATGTCTCCCTAGCTTGGACACCGGCCACAGGCAGCCCCCTGGCCAGAGCAGCCTTTCTCCAAGGTCCCAAGTCCAGAGGCCACTCCAACACTGTGCAGGCCACACTGGCTTCCTGGGGTCACACCACCATGACCAGCACAGCCTCAGAGCCCTCTGGCCCCCTCGTCCGTGCCTTGGGCACCCTGTGTGGCAGAGCTGCTGACCGGGCAGCGCAGGCTCTGGGTGGCAGGGCCAGCACAAGGGTTTTGGCTTCCACAGCCCTGGCCCCTGAGGTCAGTGTGATGGGCACTACAGGGGGGTCATCCACCCTCCTGTCCCTTCTTCAAAGGCATGCCTGCAGTTTGGCCTCATTGCCGGGAGGGTGCACATGGCAGTCTGCGGGCAACATGGGGTCGGCTTCTTGACCTTCAGATTGGGGCCCAGACGGGCCCAGCTGTAGGGGAGCAGGAGGAGGGTCCACGGGCCTGGTGGCCATCCTCAGGAGAAAGCCTGTCTTCGGCCAGCACCCCCACTATAGGTCATTCACGTTAGGAAACAGGACTGAGCCGGCCCTATCCCTACTGGCCCCTGCAGGGCCAGGAGGAAGGGCCCCCTGCTGGGTGAGTCTGACTGAGGTGCAGTCCTGCCCACCCGCTCCAGCACAAAGCAGCCAGGTGTGACGGAACCCCGCTGTGAGCTGTTGAGCCCAGAGGGCCACAGGTGTGTTTCCCACTGAGGGTTATAGGAAGAGGCTTCCTAGCCCAGGCTCAGGCCCCACGAGGCTAGCCTACGTGAGGACTGAGGCGTGGCCCCTGAGCCTCCTGCTCAGTCCCTATGCTGGGTCTGTCCGATGCTTGTCCCTTCTTCCTCCTCCTCCGATGCTGGCAGGGTTTCCATGGTTACTGGGACTGTGGCTTTGTGAGGCGGGCTTCTGTGGCTGTCTGGTCCACCGGGGAGGTCACTCCTTCAGCCGAGGCTGAGGTATTTGTCCTTGGCTGCCGGCCCAGGCCTGTGGTCGAGGAGAGACGAGGTGTGCTCTGGCAGAAGGGACGCGGGTCCCGCCTCTGGACTCTTTAGACGGCCCAGGACCAAACACAGACACGGCAGCTGTCAGGGAGGGGCCCAGGGCTGCCAGGGTGCCTGTTCGTGCTGGTTCAGGGAGGCTGCTTTGCGGTGGGACACGGGCAGGGAAGCTGCAGGTCTGGAGGCTCCGCAGGGGACAGCAGGTGGGACGAGGCTTGTGGTGTCCCCGTGTCCCAGAGACACAGGTGGTGGAGTCAGGGATCACTCAGAGGTCAGAGACCCTGAGGGCTGGCACGGACACGCCTGGCCGGGGTTCCTGCCAGGCCTCGCGTCTTCCAGGGAAGGGCGTGTGAGCAGCCGGTGCCCAAGCCCACTGCCCCAGGTGCAGGTCTGCAGTGCACCCCGTGCGCCCTTGTCACAGGGCTCCCGGACCATCATGGTGGCTTTGGTGGTCTCCGTTCCCGTGCTGGGCCTTTCTCTGAGAACCCAAAGCAGAGGCCTGAGGGCAATGTGCAGGCCCTGGGGCGCGAACTGACATGGGCAAGGGGCCGGGCGCCTGCCAGCTCTGGGGACCCTGTCTTCATCCTGGAGCTGAATTCTGGGGGCTTACTCAGCTACTGTGGGAAAGCAAACAGGGTGGGTGTGAGGGGAGTGGCTGAGGGTGGCCTCAGGCAGGGGTGAGACAGGAGGTGGCTTGTAGGGAGGAGGAATGGGGCAGAGGGCTGCTGAGTTCAGGCCAAGGATGCAGAACGGGCTGATGAGCGACACGGGGGTGCAGGTCTGGTGTGAGTGGTGTATGTGTCGTGTGAACGCGTGTGCACATGTGTGTGCAGTGAGTGCATACGGTGTGCTGTGTGTGCGTGTATGTGTCGTGTGAACGCATGTGCACATGTGTGTGCAGTGAGTGCATACGGTGTGCTGTGTGTGCGTGTATGTGTCGTGTGAACGCATGTGCACATGTGTGTGCAGTGAGTGCATACGGTGTGCTGTGTGTGTGTGCATGTTGTGTCGATGTGATGTGTGTGCTCACCTACGGCAGCAGCCCCTGCGCCCAGTCTCAGGCCTGGTAAGAAAGAGGGCTCTCCCCGGCAGCTCCTGGCAGGCTGGGTCAGCCCTTGGTGGGCCATGGCCTGGGCTCCCACTGCCCCATCCTGCAGGGTGGGGGCACAGGATGCCTGGGGCTCAGGGTCCCTCTCTGGCCACCTTCCTCTGCTGCCCCTCACCGCGTCCTGGTACTGCCCGGGTCCTGGGCAGAGGATGTGTGCCATCTGGCCTGAGATGGTGTGGGGCGGGCAGGAGGGCTGGACTGAAGGTGGGTGGGTCAGGCCCCCTGCGTCCCCTCTATATTCGTCTTTGTTCTCTGAAGGGTCCACGGCACCTGTCTGACACCCCATGGGAGAAGCCGGAGCTGGCGGGAGGCGAGCGCACACCAGCCCAGGTTCTGCCTGAGTCCTGGTAAGCTTGGGGTGGCAGCGCCTGCCTGCTGACTGCTGGCACGGTGTTCTTCCAGCACCGGGGTCGGGCGTGACCGACCCGTAGTTTCTGACACCCCGTGGTGCCCCAGGCTCCCAGTCCTGTTATAAACAATCTCTCTAGTTTTGTTTTAGTTTGGATTGAATTTAGATACCATTGACGTACATTTGCACACCGCGATCGTTTTCCGCTCTGTCAAGGCACTGTTCAGATCTGATAGAGTAAGTATTGTAAACCCCTTTTCAGGAAGGGTCAGTTATTAGAATATTTTATTTCAAGTGCTTTATTTTATTATTAGGCTAGATCTATTTTAAGTCCAAAATTCTCTCAGAGGGCCAGCCAGGTAGTGTGGTGGTTAAAGCTCTGGGTTCCTCACGAGCAACTACATGGTTCAAGGTCAGGACCTGGCGCTTGGAAGCATACCAGGCTCGTGTCCCCAAACCCACCGTGGCCGCCCTGGGGGGCTTTCTCACTTTCCCACTTTCTCTCTGTGTCTCTGTCTCTCTCAGGTGAACACGTGCTCTACAGCAAATTTTTTAAAAGAATTAACTCTCAGAACTTCAAGAATTACTTTGTTTTTTTGTTTTATTTTCAAGTTTATTAAGCTTATGTGGCGGGGGTTGGGGGCGGGTGGAGAGGGAGAGACAGGCGCTTCTGAGGGCTTCACCGTGCCACAGACCTGCTCAGCCTTCTGGCCAGCCAGGACCCAGCACGCAGCCCTGCCAGCGTGGCCAGCCGGGCCGGCTCCAAACCTGGCCCACCTGTGCAGCCGCGCCCTGCCACCCACGTCCCCGAGGCTGGCCTGTGTTGTCAAATGTGTGTGCGCCCCTCGAGAATGAAAACAACACACACATACAGACTCTTTCCTGGTTTGGTCTGATGCCAGGAGACTATCCCAGCGTCCACCCACAGAAACTGCCCCTCTGCCCTCAGAACCCTCGCAGAGTTCCCCTTGCAGGCCCTACTTCACAGTGGGGTGCATGTGCCCCGCACCAGCCTCCACCTTGGGCTGAGCCCTCTGTAGCGAGCTTTTCTTCCCCTCCCAGCCCTGGTTGGGCACGCCCTCCATTCCCCCCCCACACCGGAAGCCCTCATGCAAGGGCCCCCCATGTGTGGGCCCTGGCCCTAGACCCTGACTTCTCGGCCGCTGGGACGGCCCCCAGACGCCGCCGTGGCTCACCCCTTGGTCAGCAAGCTCACGCGGCTCTCGCTTTCAGTCGGGCTTGTCCTAACCCAGAGGGTCGCCCGTGTCCTGACCCTCCCTCACGCCCTAGTCTTGTCTCATAACTGTGACCTCCAGGTTCCCCAGATAAGCCTGGGCCGCGTCACTTCCAGAGAATGGGAGGGACCAGCAGAGCCTGGGGCTGGCTGGGATGCACGCCCACTGGGCACATTCATGAGGACTGCACTTTCTGAGTTTGCAGAGGGACAGGAGAGAGTGCCCCAGGCAGGGCGGCACACTGTCCCCAAGCCCACCCTGCCGACTCCGTCCATGCTCTCTTCTGTGCCACACCCCAGCACTGGCCAGGGCTCCCTGCTGCTGCCCACCAGGCAGGCCCAGGAGGTCGGCAGGCCCAGCACAGAGTGCTCCGGGGAGGGGTGTCTGCTTGCCTGCCCCTGCAGGACATGCAGGAGTTCTCTTGGGGAGGACCCTGGGTGGACAGAGCGCCATACCACCAGTACGGCCATGCCCCTTCCTGTATTGCCTTGGTTGCCCGGAGAAGTGAGGCCTCGGCGTTGCGAACACGGTGGCGCTCTCCCCAGTCCCTGTGTCTGTGACACGAGGTGGCCCCCTATGGTCACTGGTCATTGATTGCTGCTGGTGCCCTTGGGGCCTGGCACCTGACTGGGGGCCTTTGCCATGGTGGTGCCTGAATGTCTGCCAGTCTGGCCCATGTCCTGCCTCTCCAGCTCCTGCCCTGCCAACCTGCGTGGACACGGGCCCATGTCCTGTGGCCTCCCAGTCAGGGGTGGGCGGATAATGCAGCCCATCCCCACCGTCCATCTGGGCGGGATGTCAGCTCCGTGCCAACCCCCGTGCCACCTCCTCTGTCTTGCAGATGGTCATCTGTGGCAGGGGACTGAGACAGGTCACCCCCGTAGCCCCCGCCGGCAGCGTGAAGCCGACTGCACCCCCCCGCTTCCCCCAGCCGCCAGCGTGAAGCAGACTGCACCGCCCCGCTTCTCCCGCGTGAACGGCTGGTCGCTGCCCCTGCACTCCTTCCAGGCGGTGGGCTGGTCGACATTCCTTGTCATGTCACTCGCCGCCTTTGGGGTCTTCATCCCCTTCCTGCCGCAGACCTGGAAGTGTGCGGCCTATGCCATATCCTTTCCTGGGCTGGAGGGCCAACTTTGGGGTCCAGGCCAGGCCTGGGGGTGACAGTGTCCCTCCGGGCCCCAGCCCACTACCCAGGGTGGCAGGGGCCCACTGGACCACGAGGGGCCGGGAACGGGTGGGCTGGGTGTCAGAGTGCCTGGGAACCAAGGGGCTGCAGACTGACCGGGGCGGCACGGCGCCTTCCGTGTGGCCCTGTGGGGAATGGCGGTGTCATGAGCGCTCAGAGGAAGAGAACGTCATCGAGTCTGGAAACCCGGGGAGGGCACACTGTGGTCTGTGCTCGGGCATGGCAGCACTTCCTCCCAGCCTCCGTGGAGGTGGGGACCCTCCTGGGGGCCACCGGGCTCAGGTCGGCGGTGCCGGCCTTGGTGCTGTTAGCACTACCTGAGGCTCCAGGGCAGCCCAGGCGACATGGCGCCATCGGGAGTCCCCTGCCGAGTCACTGTGTTGTGGGGCCTGGCCAGGGCCCAGCCGTGGCCTCCGTGACCCACACAGGCCCGCTCGCCTCCTCTCGGGCCCTGCCGCTGCGTTCCTCACGGTGTGTCTCTGAAGCATCCCCGCGTCATGTTCCACACTCTGTGGGTCTGTCTGTGGCCAAGAAGGAGCAGGGTGCCGTGGCCCTGCCAAGTGCCACCTGGGGGCCAGGTCCTGGGCTTCACAGCAGCTGTGCTCGGGCGCTGGACGCTGTGGGGCCTCTCCTGCATCGGCTGGCTCACCCTGAAGAGAGGCCCCTCTGTCCTCCCCTCCGTCTCTTGCTGCCGAGCGTGGGGCCCCAGCTGCGGCACAGCGGGCATGGCGGGTGCGCCACAGCGGGCAGGGCGGCTGCTGCGTGGAGGCCGCCCGCCCAGCCTGCCCGCTTGTCTGCTGGCCCCCATGAGGGTTCCGCCCTGGCCCTGCAGGGCGGGTTGGGTGCCTTGACCCCCTGACGCTCCCACCTGACAGCCTGAGGCGGTCCTTCCCGTGTTTGCCGTGTCTGTCCCCCACGAGGTTGCCATCCTTGGACCACGGTGCATCCTGGCAGCCTGCCTCAGGGCCTCCTTTCGAGCCTGAGTCCCACTGGGTGGGGTTAGGACTGGGAGCCGTCTGTGCACACAGCTCAGCTCTAACACCTGGCTTCTCGCTGCGCTCGGACGGCCTGGTCCTCATCCTCCACCTGCGACGCCCTCCCTACCTCCATGGCTCCCACCAGCCTGCACTGCCCTCCCCGGCCTTCTCCAGGGACCGAGTGCAGCTTCCCTGGCTGTCCAGGGCTCAGGTGGCCTGGGGGACCCTCCCACACAGGACGCCCCTCAGGCCTGGGGCCTGTAGCACTCTGGCGCCGTGCTGTGCCACTAGGGGGCGCCAGCGTCATAGGCACCTGCAGGGACTATGCAGTCGGACGCCCAGTTCTGCCGCCAAGGCCCTGATGGGAGGGGAGGGTCGCCTGGGCAGGAGCAGGACAGCTCTCGGGAGGACGGTGGGGAGCAACCGTGCGGCAGGACTGCGCAAGGACCCGAGCCTGGCTGCCCACGCTCCTCCAGTGGGGCTGGGTGCTGTCGGCTGCAGGGGCAGGACTGCAGCTTGCACGCCTTCCCGGCCGGGGGGGGGAAGTATCCTGGGGGCCCCCGTCTGTGGCCGAGGCTGCAGGGGCACGCGCGG